AGCCCGAGGCTGCTATATGTTTTAAGGATGGAAAGAGCTTGGAACATTGTCGTGATGCACAAAAGACAATCCGGTGTTGCGCTCCAGTTCGATTCAGCTAACGCTTCAACACTAGTAGGCAAGTCTTCTTTGGTTGCTGTGATGATCATCATGTTCGAAGGGGTGGCAACAGGTTCAAGAACTCTACCTAGATGGTTTTCAGCTCGGATCTCCATTTGGAAAAAGGGCGAGACATTCTGTATCACGTCTTCAACAGTCTCAGCTCTGGTCCTGCGCATGGCAAAAATTCCCAGAGGTGTCAGTGCAACAATCAACTCGGTCTTGTGGTCCATGAAGTGTTTTTCCTCTAGTGTCATTGGTCCTAGGAACAACCCTTCTACGAACATGCCCGAGGTGGGGACTGTGTCCATGGCAAAGAGAGGCAAACGAACAGCGGAATCTCCACGTGGCTTCCACACTGCGGCAGCATTGGTTGGCAGGTGAAAAACCATACGGAGAAATTCTAATACCGAGACTTGTGGACTGATGTGGAAGCTGATAACTTCGTCCTCGTGCACCACGCGCAAACAGTGCATTGGGCTTACCTGTTCTTCCCAGCTTTGCGTGGGAGAGACTTCATTTCGAACAACCCTGATTGTGTGCGTGTCAAAGCACTGTTCGATTGCCACGCACTCCTTGGTGATACGATCAGCTACTGCTTCTTCTAAGATCCACAAGGGAATGTCGGTCCATCGAATACATTCGAGCTGTGCGATGCCATTGAGGAGGCAAAGGAGAGCGTGTGGTACGGCTATAGCATTGCCAAGCATGCGACATGCAATCTTCGGTTCATTAGGAACGTGACATGCATCTGTACAGCCGAAAAGCATGACGAGTTCGGGATGTGCCAACCATCGCAGCTGTCCTTCACTAAGTACAAAGGATCCGAGAAGTCCGCCTTCACGCAGGACATGTTCAGGCAGTTCGCGCGCAAAAGCGTAGTTAGCCATCACACACGGATGCTGGTCCTGGGCCGTTCGTACTCTACATCTCCTGATTTCGTGTGGTGTACTTCCCGTTCTTCTTGGTAAATATGTGTGCTTGAAGTACATGTCGAAAGCTTCTTTGCTAATGGAGGGTGCGAGACCATGACAGTGGTGGCTTGCTGGAAGTAGCACTGATGATAGTGTTGGCATTTCAGTAGGTTTGTACCATTTTTTAGCTTCTAGTGTCTCAATGCGAGGGTCGCCTTCCCGAACGGCGACCATAAGCATGCGGTTGCGAGCATGTGGCAGGATCTCCCCAAGGTTGACTGGTTCACACCACACTAGTGAATAGCCGGACCACTTGAGGAATTCCCGAAACCAAATGAAATGTCTATGGCTCAAAACTGATGCAACTTCCTCTAGGCAAAGTACTGCCGGGCGTAGAAATGCACACTGAATCAAGGTGAAAATCAACAAGCGTCCTTCTGGGGAGTCGAGTCCAGCCTCCGATCCTGCCCTGCTCCAGGGCTGGCAGGGCGGTGAAGCTAAGAGCACATCAATAGGGCGAGTCAGAAAGTGCCACCATGCATGTTCGATGTTCGCGACAATCGTAAATGGCTCCTGTGGAATTCGACCCGTGATTCCTATAGACTGTGCCTGTTGCGGACTGGTGACAACCGGATGACTGGTGTGATTTAATGCATGATTACGAGCCATGATAATGTCGTTTTCGACAGAGAAAGCGTGATGTACTGGGAGGTGTGCTCTTTGCAAGCATTTCATGGCGAAGGACCATCCGGAGAATCCGCCTGCAAAAAATTCTCCCACGCGTATCTGATTATCATCTGGCTTCCTTTTCAAGTCAACCGGCGTGAGGCCTGACTGAGGTGCTCTGAGGTCTACTACTGGTGTTCCTTCATTCCAGAGGAGTTTTGCCTCAACAATGAAAACCATCTGGTCTGGCCCCAATGCCTGCCACATTTCTTTTGGTAGGAGGACGTGCGCGAATTTGATCTGCTCGTGTGAACATTTTGGCCAACCGCATTCCAAGTTCCCCACATGGTCTCCTAGTGCAGTGGTGGGTTGAATGATTTTGCAAGCTACGACTGCCTGATCACCCCAATCGTGCACGTACTGTGTGAGGATTGCTTGTGCAGTAAATCCCTTGGAATGACAACTGCATATGCCTTGGACTGGGATATGTGCTCTGATATGGTGGATAAGTACTTGCCTTGTACGCTCTGACAGCAACGGAAGCTCTGCTCGGGATGTGTAGGAACTATGACCGGTACTTGAGCTCGTACTACGTAATGTTCCTCCAGTTTCAAAAGGCAGTGTTACCTGGGACGTAAGTAGCTGTGACAGGAAGATAGCTCGAACCGTAAAAGCAAAATGGATGAGGTTTTGGTCATGCGAGGCTGACTGCCAAGCTGCCACCGCTTGTTGGCCAATATGTGCCAGAATTTCCTGTTCAGGGTGCGTCTGCAAGAAATGAACTTCTTCATGACACGGTGGTATCCATTGAACTCCACAAGAACTGAGCATGTCTCTTAGCATCAGGAATCCGCACATGCCTTCCGGCGAATGGTACGTATGGAAGACTGTTCTCACCAGAGTCGGGTCAATATGCAGGAAAGCTGTGAATGCATGGATGAAGGCATTGCATTGAGCTGGTTCAATGCTTGGAAATCCGTAGATATGGATGATTACCGATTGCGTGTTGCCATGGATCCTGTATGCAAACCAATGGTCAAAAGCCAACATGAGTCCCCTGGTGTCTACCATCAGCCACACTGGTATTTCTTCTCTGCCTATAAGCCGGACAATCCCCGATTCAAGATCCCATTTGCAACACGACATAATGTGTCTATTCGTGATCAACTGTCTATAAAGTGTGATAATATGATCAAGTTCATCTGAGGCTGCATGACCAGGCAATTCACTGAAAGCAGCCAGGCGTGAATGGACGGTGCGCACTTGACTATGGACCTGGTGTACCACAAGCGACAGTTGAGTGTCTGGGTCTGTTTGCGTTCCTTGTTCTGCGACCGCGACAGTTTCCTCAGGTCTGGCATCTGGAGTCGTGTCTTCCGCAACTGTTGATGGTTGTCCCTGCTGAGAGGCTGGGTCCTCATAGGCCTGAAGTGGCTGGCCTGCGGCGAGTACAGCGTGGCTATCCAAACGGTGGTGGACACTGGTGTTGAACTGAAAGATGTTAGTAAGGAATGCCATACGGACCACATATGCTACATACTGCAAATCTTGTGAGCCTTCTGTTCTTGCCCACGCTCTAGCTGAATGCTGCAAGACACTGTGAATGATTCTCTTTCTATCATCGGACAGGCTTTGGAACTCATGCAGCGTATTGAAGAATGCCTGTGATGTGTGTGTGAGGTCAATCCAGCGTTTCAACAGGGTCCAGCCACACATGTGAGGTGGTGCTAAGTCAAGGCCGTATGAGATGTTCACCCTATGTGAAGGAATGTCCAGCATACGGCAGAGGAAAAGCTCAATCCGGTTTCTCCACGACGGTGGAATCATCAGGAAAGCGACTTCAAGATGATCATGCTGACGGTCTATCTCGATCCCTCCCCAATGTGCTCCAAAAAGGATTGGCAATAAGGAAATCCCTGTGTTGGCGATGTGAGGGTCATCTGCGTCAAAAACGAAATCATCATGAATAGCATCATATTGGCACAATGGCATTAGGTGGTAATGAGATGACGGTCGACGAATCTTTCCTGCTGCAAATGTCCATTCATCTGATGCCATCCACCCTTCAGTGTCTCTGGAAAAGGTCATCCTATCTCCAACCGAAGCGTAGGGGCGCAACGTTACTGATCGAACAGTGTCCCAACCTGGTCGGCCACCGACATGGATACCTGTTGGCATGTCTAGATCTGGTTGAGACATGCGAACTTGATGGATTCTATTGAGAGCTTGTTGGATCAGCTGAGGCACGAAAAAGCCTGGCCCGACATCTGCATCAATCGGGGAGCTAACGAAAGTTAGTTTGCTCTTTACATCGTAGCCCCGGAGTGCGGTCGTGGGTTCTCTTCGTGGTTTATTTATTCGCATCTCTTCCAGCTCGAAAACTGCTACAACATCATGCCACTTGACATCCTGGAGGAGGAAGTAGGTCATCTGCACGAAGGTCATGACACTATGAATCAATTCTTGGCTTCGCAAAAAAGGTTCACGTTCATCACAACTGGCAAAATACAGCATGAGCATTGGCAGGATCATATCGAACTGTGACGTTTTCTCTTGCGTACAGGTGTCATCATACCTCGTAGGAATGGCCCACAAGGAAAACTGCCACCTATCACAGTGAAATTCGCCACCGAGGTAGAAAGATCCACCCGTGTGTAGCCAGAAATCAGCGCTATTCCTGACTTTTAAATGAATCACCTGACCCGTGGCCAAGACACATTCGATCACCTGGAAGTCGGTACTTCTCAAAAGAGTCTGCCGGACACTGAATGCAATGCGGTGTGCAGGTCCTCTATCCTTCACCAGGAAAGAAGGCTGCAAAGTGACCGAGATTGACTCCTTTTGCAGGGTTTCGACCCATGGCGTCGCCCGCATCTGTATCCAGGAGATTTCTCCCAGATAACAGCCCCGCCGCGTGAAGGCTCGAGCAAAAGGGCTCCGCAGAAGTGGATTGAAAAGCCTCTTCAGGCCAGGGGGGCCTAATCTAGAGTCTATCAAGTTATCAAGTCATCAAGTCTCTGACAGCTTTGCCCAAGAATCATGCTCCAAAGGCAGAAACCAAATCTCCTGTGCCCTTCAGGATACTGAACAAGAAGTGTGCCTGAACCCCAGAGCCATACTGAGATGTGGGTGAGTTCAACTGACCCCAAGAATGCTCAAAAAGAACCGATGGCTTCCCCCCCCCTCCGCTTTTCCTCCCCGTCCGTCACAGCCTCCGCTTGTTTGGGAAGCCTGTCGTACAGCCTCTCGGCCCTACATTCGACCGTCTCAACCGTCGGCCCGGGCGTCTGGTCGGTGTCGTGTTAGCCCCAAGTTCCGCACAACACCGTTGGCTCCACTGGAAGGCAAGGCGCAAGGCGGCGCTTCGGCGCGCGCAAGGCGGCGCCCTCCTCGCCCGGAACGGAACGGACTCGAACGAAGCCTGGAAAAAGAGTTTCGCCAGTTGTTCAACGGAAAACCACTTGCTCCATGTGCAGTGAATCTATCCAGAGTCTATGGATCTTCCCTTTGCTTCCAAAGGAACCCCATTTGCTGCGGCCAGTCGGCCCACACCCACACACCGGGACTGTGGACCTCCCACCTGGGTCGGTCTGGTGCGTCCGCCTGCGGTGTGTTCCACAAACATGTCCGTCCTCCCGAAGGGCACTGATTGGGGGATCAAACCGAAGAGCTCAACTGGGAGGTTTGAACTCACTCCAGTTCCGGCTTCAGGGCGTGGATATCTTCGATCTGATGTGCATGGCAAGATCGGACTCCAACATCTCATTGGGATTTCTGAGACAAGACATGAAGACTTGAAGACTGCCGCTTCGCACCTCTTGCCAGTCTTTCCCTCATGTCCCTTCCTGCGAAGTGTCATGTACAGCCATTCAGAGAATGAACACACCTAGAATAACAACTTAGCTCGAGAGCTACTGGCATTCTTGGTGCTTTGATGATCACTTCTTTTCTACTAAGACCCGGATCACCCCTGCAAAATCCGCCCAAGTGTAGCCTGTGTGGCTTCAGCAGCGGCCAGGTTTTATACACGTCGTGTTCCACCGCTCGCCGCCTGGGCCGGTCGGTGGCACCGGGCACGGCAGAAAACCCGACGGGGTCACACGTTTGGCAAGCTGAGTTCAAGCTGAGACGTCTCACGGAAAAGGGTGAAAACAGAACAACGGCCACCTGCCGCAACTCTGAGGCATGTTGCAGTCTCGAAACAAAGCTCCCTTTTTCACGTCTTCCGTCTTCCTATATAAGGAAACGCTGCGGTGGACACGATGACCTTGATGGCCCTGCACTCCATGCAAGGGCACACACTCTACAAAGAGCTTCTCTCCTCTTTGCAGCTGTACTGAAGGCAGGGCAGCACGAAAGCTTTCTGACCACACCACCTCTGTCAACTCTAATTTGGAGCCTCAGAAGGAAAACATCTGGGCATCGTCATATTTCATGGCATGCAAGGCAGGCACACAGGCCTTCTCCAGCATCACAGGCGGCCCACACATCAAGCAGATGCCCGTCTCGCTGGCAGGAAAGAGGGACACTTTTGCCATCGCCGTATTCACGAAGCCCACGTGCCCCTTCCACTCAGGCACGAAATTCTTAGCTGCTGATGGGCTCACGTTCTTTTCGTCCTCAGACGGAGCTTTGTCAACAGTAAGGCTCAGCCAGGCTCAGCATGAAGCGATCCGGATGCTCTGCAGCCAATCCTTCAAGGATGTCTCGGGCAAGAATGTCATCAGGTGTCCGGTTGGCAAAGAGGAGGCGCACTTCGGAGAATTGCTGCCAGAACTTGGTAGCATGGTGTGATTCCAGTACCACGTGCAATGATAGAGATGTCTGTCACAAACCGTGGCTTGCCATTCATGATGCAGTGGCCTCTTCCTTGGTAGACAAACTCACCGATGGGTCCCTTGACATCAATAGCGTTCCCAATCTTCATGCTTTCCAAATGCTAGTACATCTTGCCACCCTCTGGAAAGCTTGGGTTCACACCTCTGAAGTACACTTTCACAAGCAGGTCCACATGAGTCCACATGACCAAGAGTGCTGTCATCTGTCATTGGTGTGTAAGCACGCATCACAGGCTTACCACGACTTTTTGGCTTTCAGCGTCATATGCATGCCAGTAGGAAGCCCTAAAGTCATTGAAGGAGACGGAAGCTTGAAGCGGAAGATACGCGTGTCATGGTTGACCACAATTGTCTCTAAAAGCTGAAGTTGCTGGCTCTCTCGAGGAAGACCTTCCAAATCTGACCCAAAAGACCAAACACAGGCCGAGTGAAGCAAATATTGAGAGAAGTTTGACCAAATCTTGGCCAGGCCTTGCCAAGGTTTGAGCTTTTTGCGACTTCAAAGGTCCGATGTAGTAGTCCTTCAGCATCTCCCAAGCACGTGTTGAGTGAACTGCCTCAAAATCCTCGGTGGCCTCCAAACCGCCAGCGAGAAGGATGGATGAAGCGCCGCCGGGATGATCTTGCAAGTACGGCGTGCCGTCATACACGTTGCCCTTCACCACAAACCAGCAGGACGTTTCGTTGTCGTGTTTCTTGACCTCCTCCATGCTAATGCCAGAAAGCCACTCATCGGTGGACTGCACCAGCTTGCCTGCCTTGGTAGTTTTGAAGGCATCTTGACTGGAAGGGCTGGCGGCGCTGACTGAGTCTATCTTGGCACCCTTCCACACTGCTGCCACAGGGCGTAGAGGCGCTACTCCACTCTTGCCCGGTGTGGCCTCAACCGCAAAGTTCTCGTTGAATTGGCCTGCTTGATCAGTCATCCAACCACCAGGCATGGAACCCTGGGTTGGATGTTCGAACCAAAGCATGTTGTTCTCACGGTGAATCTTGATGCGGTATATGGGATTGTTCAACATGCCCATCACAGTCCATGTCAGCTGCACAGGCTGGCAGTTCTGATTGGAATCCCAGGCACGGCAGCAAATCTCTTCGCAACTACTGTCCAAAAGCCGGCTCATGTCGACCTCAGTCTCCCACCAGGCCCAACACCAATGCTTGTCAGTGCCACGGGCTTCGGCAATTTCATCTTCTGGCCTGGAAAGCTCTGTGATCTCCCAAGACTTCCCTGAGTCCAAAGAGATCTCTGCACGGATGATCTTGTGGCCCCCACCAGTGTATGCGTATCCTGAAACCTTCAGAGTCTTGGGAAAGCTCACTTCTTTAACGAAAGAGTTGTGCCGCGGCTCAAACATGGCGGAGTTGATGTTCATGTGGTTGATGATGTACTCGGGTTTGTACCACCACCCTTCCGCACATGCAAGGTCTGCGTCTACATGGGGTGGGAGTACACGGTTGTCAAAGTAATGGTAGTGATTTTCAGAAGGTTTGTCTGAAACCTTGGTTTGAACAAAGCTGAACTGGATTGCAATCCTGATGCCTACTACAAAAAGTATTCAAGACAGAACTTGACGCGGCCTGCATTCAGAAGTACAACAGAATCTCTTGCTCAGCACTGACCGAATCCGTTTATTGAGCCCATTTTCAGAGCAATGTGGCAAAGTGTCACTCTATATATTACATAATGGATACCTGTCATTGCATTATCACATGCGCACTGCACTTTTGCTGCAAGGCTTTAGTGCAGACAAGCAGCCCACATGCTGGTGAGCCACTTTATCATGCGACCGCCGATGCAGCCAGGCAAAAGCGTGCGCAAGGGAAAGCCATGGTCCGGTGTCAGCAGCTCTCCGTTTTGCTTGAAAGCCAGCAGCACATCTCGCTCTCTGTCAAGAGCCCAGCCCAAGTCAATGGAAGTTCCGTAGGAGCCTGTTTTGCCTTGAGGCAACTCACCCAAAGGACCTTCAAAATGAACAAAGCGATGCTCTTTGGAAGGGCGAGTGATGCCCACTGCGGCCAGCAAGTCACAGAGTCGCACTCCTGTCCAAACAGAGTTTCCAACGGCTCCGGCACCCCAGTCGAAGCCAACCGTCTTCTTGGTCATGTTCTGCTCTTTCCGACGGTTGCCAGCACAAATGAAGGTCACAGGGATTGACACAATGGTGCCCCACTCTCCAGACGCGATCTGCTCCATGCTGAGGTTCACTGGTTTTGGCACCCCAGTGATTTTCAACTGATGCTCAGACCAGGAAAGCTGTGGCACAGCACCATGGTTCCTCACCACGTGCAAAGAAGGAGGTGTGATCCAACCTGCCTCTTGCAAGCGCTTCAGGGGTGGTTCCGAGTTGAAGGGATGTGCACCAGTGTTTCGCAGCATCTCTGGGTGCCTCTTGATCCATTTGTCCGGCGTGTTGGCATCCCTTCCATCAACCTCGGAGGCATCCTGACGCGGAGGCATTTCGAGGCTGGTGTCCCATAGGGATGTGGAAAGTGCAATCTTGCCATCCACAATCTTTCCATCCCTCATGGGCTCGATCTCCGCCATGGATTTCAAAACACTCCCTATGGCCCTACAACACTCCAAATGAGGAAAGCACTTGAAATCCAAAGCTGACTGCCAGGTCACAAAAGTGGAACAAGCCAAGAAATGCCAGGTCACAAGGCTGTTGCTGCTTTTGCCCGGTCACAAGGCTGGGAATGCTATGCCTGGATTGATCTCCCTGCCTATGAGTCACATGATAATGACATACTGTATGAATTTCATATCTCACGCAGCCTATGAGTGGAAGCCATGTGATCTTCATATCTCAAACATGAATTGAATCGAACGTATGCGATCAATCCATACATCTATATACCATGGCTTTGAGGGCCACAAGTCAATAGATGAATCAAGCCCACCTTTTTTGCTGGCCGGATCGGGATCCACAATACTTCCAGCGCCCCAGGGCCCGATGTCTCCTGCTCCTGACAAGAAAAGAGCACCCTTGGGAATCGAAGACAAGACAAAAGACGCTCTTTCTAAGCCTTGACATCAGATTCTCTGGGAGGGCTCCGGTCGCTACATGTTGACATCTACGAATCTACCACGATGATACCACGTTTGAGCAGTTTGAGAACCTACTCGTCATCCTCAAGCAGCTAGTGCAAAACTGACAGGTCGCACTGGGACACTGGGCCAGTAGTGAATTACCTTCAGTTTGCCAGGGAACCAAACCACGGGCAACGAATCTTTGACCACGTCTAGGACACCGTAGGCAGCAGCTGTTTCTGGGAGATCGGTGTGCAAATCACCTCGAATCCTGAAGAGAAGACAGTACGCTTTGTGCTCCTTCTTGTTCAGCTGTTTTCTTGGTAGGCCTTGAAGATCCTTCAGAGGTTAGGGGACTAGTAGAGAGGTGAGGTAGTAGCTTAGTATTTAGTAGCTTAGTAGCTAGTAGCTAATAAGAGCAAGGAAGCTACTACGAACT